AAACATGCACTGTTTTAAACTTGTAAAACTCATTTTCTGAGGTGCAGCTGATCGCCGAGAGTTGGAACAGATATTTTTCTTGCAGTTTCTTTGCAAAGCCTGTTCTGTGGACATGTTTATACACGTCACATCGAATACATGTTAATGCCCCCCCTGTAAATCAATTCGGTGGACGGGGAAAATTGCACTACTACGTCAAATTGTGGTGGGCCTTAAAGTCAGTGGGATTTGGATACTTTTTTACATCAGGACATTTAAAAAAAGAGACTTACTGTGTTTACATCACTCCAATATGACAGCAGACACGGGATACCTATACACAGTTCTGTCCAAAGAGCTCCCAAAAGTTAATTTTGCATCATTGGTGCCCTTTGAAGCATTCAGGCACAAGAAACATTAGCATTTGTTGCTTTAATAAAGACTAAATAAATCATATTTTTATAATGAAGACTGACAAGTGTTATTTTACAATAGATTGTTTAATATTTGGGTCCAACTGCCATGTTTTTCTCTCATTGCTATGGTTTTTCACCCCTAAAAAATCTAGTTTAAAGATTATTTAAAAAATGTATGCAGATGCACTTTGCTATAAAATATCCAAAAACATTCTGAAATATTGAATATTGAGAGTTATTTAAAGTATATTTCATATCACACCGTATATTGCTGTCATTTTGTTCCAATTTTGTGCAGCCCTAGTTCACCCAAAGACAAACACTTTATTATTTAATCTCATTCGAACATTTATACATTTCATTCTTTTGTTAAGCACAAAACAAGTTATTCTCAATAATGTTGGGAAATACAGCCATTGACTTCCATAGTAGGAACAAAAAAAATACCATGGAAGTCAATGGTTGTTTTCCCCCACAGCATTGTTCAATATATCTTTCTTTTGTTGAACAGATGAAAGAAAGTAATGTACAGATTTTGAACATTAAATGTGAGTAATTGATGACATGAAAATGAACTACCCCTTTAATGCCGCTCATCCGCCAGCGGGCATAAGATCATAAAATGTCATGATATTGGCTGCAGATGGTGGGGTATTGATCCAGACGTCATTATGGGGACATTAGCTGAGCATTACATTTCAATTGGTTGACACAGTAGTTAATGCATATGGACTGAGTGTTTGCAACCATATGTCATTTTGTCTTTTATGTTTCCTACAGCAAAGCTCAAAACATTGCAATATCAATACCAAAAGCTGTGTTTGAACTTAAGAGCCTAATTCGTCAAGTTTAGTGTGAGCAGCAGAAAATGGGTTTGATTTCTTCACTCTTTTATTTGTTATATTGTTATTTAATCTCATTGATTAAAAAGAATATATTTTTATCCTCACCAAGGCTGCATTTATTTAATAATAAATACAGCAAAACAGTAGTCATTTTAAACCTTATTTCAATATATTATCATTGTTTTGAAATACTATTTACTCAGTATATTAATTATATTGAAGCTGAATTTTCAGGCTCATTACTCTAGTCTTCAATGTCACATTATCAAGATATATAGTAATAATGTAATAAAATAGTTATATAATAATTATAATATACTGATTTTCTGCTTATGAAATATTTTTATTATAATCAATTTTGGCTACAGTTTAGATGCTTAATTTTTTGTTGTTGTTGTTGTTGAAACCATGAAACCATAAATTTAACTGGCAGCTAGCTCTCAGCAACTCTTACATGGTTGCCCACATAAGCTAAGCAGGGCTCCGCCTGGTATGTACCAGGATGAGAGTTCATAATAGGAAAGCTATTTTGCTGCCGGAAGTGGTGTTAGTGAGACCGGCAGAGGGCACTCAACCTGCGTTCTGTGTGGGTCCTAAAGACCCAGTATATTGATGGGGACTCTATACTGCTCAGTGAGCACGAATGAGATTTTAAACCAAGGTCCAGACTGCTCAGTGAGCATAGGATGAGATGTTAAGCCAAGGTCCTGACTTTTTGCGGTCATTAAAAATCCCAGGACATCCTTCGAAAAGAGTAGGGGTTTAACCCCAGCATCCTGGCCAAATTTGCCTACTGGTCTCTAACCATCCCCATATCATAAATGGCTTTATCACTCTGTCTCCTCTCCACCAATCAGCTGGTGTGTGGTGTGCAGTCTGGTGCAGTCTGGTGTGGTTTGGTGGCTGCTGTCGCCTCTTCCAGGTGCATGCTGCACACTGCTGGTGGATGAGGAGATTCTCCCAAAAATGTGTAAACCGCTTTGAGTGTACCAAAAAGCGCTATATAAATGTAAGGAATTAATTCATTAATGATGCACAATTCTCAGAAATAAAGATACCTGTCACTGGGGTGGTACCATTTGAAAAGGTATGCTTTTGTACCTTACAATTGCACATTAGTACTTCAAAAGGAATTTGTTCCTTTAGGGTTTACTTCTGTACCACTGAGGTACTTTATTATTTACCTTAAAAGGTACAAATGTGGATCTGCATTGTAAAAAAGTGTCCCTTTTCAAAAGGTACCACCCCAGTGAAAGGTTTTGTACCATTATTTTTGAGAGTGAACTGATGGTGCACAATATTTTAGTTGCTATATCAGTATCGGCTAATACATGTTTATTTTTAAAGCTGGCAAAGAAAAAGGTTATTCAAACATTTAAAGTTGCAATGTTAAAGTTGCAAGTGGTTAAGAATTTGTCAAAAAACATTATTTGTTTGCATTTAGTTTTTTTGTAATCAGGCTAAGAAAAAAATGTATATCAATATTTGTATTTAAAAGCCTATAAATTAGGTCTGGTGCTTATATACTAGTGTAATGCACAAGCCACTAGTTATCGCTGCCTTCTTAAGCCACACCTGCTGCGTTTTAACCATGAGAGAGAGAGAGAGAGATCATGGACAAGTGCATTGAAAATCCCTGCAGTCACCAGCTGAGCACCGTTCGATGCTAGTCTTACGTTTGCTGCTCTTCTGGCAAAATGGCAAAAATGCAGTCTTAATTACTATTTTCCAATTTCCATATTGAACGATAACAATATTTAAACAAAATTAGTTGTTAATGCTTCCAGATTTAAAAGAGTACCCCAACAATGACTGAAGCCACAAAAATTAGAGGGTCCATTAACAAGCATAACATTATTGACTGATAAATTTTTGCTGGTAGATCTCTGATATCAACACACTTTAAGATTCCCATTGTTGCACATTACTGCTGTGTAATTGGCTTTTGGACCAATATTAAGTAAAATAGTCCAGAGCTTATTGTTCTTGACATAAATTTTATTGCATTTTGATATAATATCATTTATCAGCCCAGCCCTACTATTGATCATATTTAGTTTTCCAGAAGGTTTCAATATTGATACCAAAAATCTTTGCATACTTTATATATATATTCACACATATATAAACATACATATTCAAGTCTTTTGGGATGACTATCTACAAATGAAGACACGTACAATATATGAAAACCTCTCATATACAGTATTTTTGATTTAAACTCTTTCCATGTCTCTCAAACTGCTTTTCAGTATTAAAACATCCATTAAAAACGCAGACCGAGAAATAATGATGGCTCTCTATGATTAATGAATGCTTACGAAGGAGAAGAAATAATGAGAGAAATACGAGATACACACTAATCCCTTGCAAGTAACCTTCGCCTCATTTGACTTATACTGCGTGCAGTGTGCCTGGAGGAAAGCCCACAACATGGAGAACACTGCGTCTCTCTCTCTCTCACACACACACACAAAGAGAGAGAGAAAGAGTCACACACACACAAGCTGTCAATTCTAATCAACAGCATTCGCACATATATGACACTAATAGTTCTTTCCATTCTCCCCATACACACACACATGCACATACACACACACAAGCTAATCATATCCAGCCTCTGCTGCTTCATACTGTTCGTTTGCTCTGACGTCAAAGATGGGAGGAGTGTGTGTGTGTGTGTGTGTGTGTGTGTGTGTTTATAGGAGTGTGTGCTGCACAGCTGAGAGAAACTAGTGCTTATATACTGGTGTAAGGCACAAGCCACTAGTTATTGCTGCCTTCTTAAGCCACACCTGCTTCGTTTTAACCATGAGAGAGAGAGAGAGAGAGAGAGAGAGATCATGGACAAGTGCATTGAAAATCCCTGCAGTCACCAGCTGAGCACCGTTCGATGCTAGTCTTACGTTTGCTGCTCTTCTGTATTCCTACACTTTTCCATGATTCTGTCGTTTTTCGAGACTTCACACACACCGGAAATAGAACTGAATCAAAACGGATTCACATTTGCTTCTCGAAGAGTCTCTTGGACTGATTGACATACAGGTGGATTGTTTTTATTTTTTGTATTTTTTTTTATGCTTACTTTTTTTCGAGAGTAAAATGCCCTAACAAGACCATTCGGACTGTATTTGGGAATATCTCAAGCACACTGGATGCTGCGCTGTGTATTTCTCACAAAAGATTCTCGAGTTGCTCAGCATACAGGTGGAACATTTTATTATTATTATTTTAATTTTGAACAGTAATGCCATAAAAAGATCATTTGAACTGTATTTCGGGAAGCATACTGGATGCTGTACTGTGTATTCCTTACAAGAGCTTCTCAAATTGTTCAGCACACAGGTGGATTTTTTCATTCTTCATTTCTTATTTTGAACAGTAATGCCATAATAAGACTGTTCGGACTGTATTTGGGAATATCTCAAGCATAATAATTGCTGAACTGTGTATTCCTCACACAAGAGATTCTCAAATTGCTCAGCCGACAAGTAGAATAGTTTATTATTATCATTATTTTGAACAATAATGGCATAAAAAGACCATTGGGACTGTATTTGAGAGTATCTCAATCACACTGGATGCTGAACTGTGTATTCCTCACACAAGAGATTCTCGTATTGCTGAGCATTTAGGTGGAATATTTTATTATTATTGTTTGTTTGAAGAATATTGCTATAAAAAGACCATTCGGACTGTATGTGGGAATATATCAATCATAATAGTTGTTGTGCTGTGTATTCCTCAAATTAGAGATTCTCGAATTTCTCAGCATACAGGTGGAATTTTTTAGTTTGATTATTTTTTTTGAACAATAATGATATAAAAATACTATTGACACTGTATTTGAGAGTATCTCAAGCACACAAGATGCTGAACTGTGTGTTTCTCAAACAGAGATTCACAACTTGCTCAGCACATAGGTGGAATATTTGAATTATTATAATTTTTGTTTATCAATAATGCCCTAACAAGACCATTAGAATTGAATTTGGGAATATCTTAATCATAATCGCTGCTACACTGTGTATTCCTTACTCACGAGATTCTCAAATTTCTCGGCATACAAGCGGAATAGTTTATTATTATCGTTATTTTGAACAATAATTGCCCTAACAAGACCATTTGGACTGTTTTTGAGAGTATCTCAAGCACACTGGATGCTGCATTGTGTATATTTCTCACACAACAGATTCTCGAATTGCACAGCATAAAAGTGGAATAGTTTGATATTTACATATATTTTTTGAACAAAACTGCCATAATAAGACCATTCGGATTGAATTTGGGAATATCTCAATCATAACAGTTGCTACGCTGTATATTCCTTACACAAGAGATTCTCGTATTGCTCAGCATACAAGTTGAATTGTTTATTGTTATCATTATTTGTAACAATAATGCCCTAATAAGACCATTCAGACTGCATCTGGAAGTATCTCAATCACACTGGAGGCTGCATTGTGTATATTTCTCACATAAGAGATTCTCGGACTGCTCAGCATACAGGTGGATTTTTAAATAATTTTTATTTTGAACAATAATGCCATAAGAAGACCATTGGGACTATATTTGGGAAAATCTCCAGCACTCTGGATGCTGCAGTGCGTGGCAAGACACGTCGGATTAGTTGTGGGTGCAGGTGAAGATGCCTGCTATCCTGGTGGTCTCTAACATGAAGTCTGGACTACCGAAGCCGATCCACAGCGCCCTCCCCATCCCTCAGGTGCCCACCCGAGCTGTGGCCCCCCGACCCTGTTATTCCAGCCCCCCGCAGAGCAGCGCTCATCTCCACCTCCAGAGCCAAAGCGGGTGGATGACAAGCAAAAACTATCACAATGTTGACAGTGGAGAGGACACACAGGTTAGAATTGCATGTGTGTGTGTGTGTGTGTGTGTGTGTGTGTGTGTGTGAGAGAGAGAGAGAAACTCATGGTCTTTTTTCAAGGAATTAAAGGGGTAGTTCACCTAAAAAAGATAAAGGACGTACTATTTATTGTCCTTCAAGGAGTTACAAACCGTCCTTTGAGTTTTCTTTTTTCTGTTAAACACTAAAGAAGATATTGTGAAGAAGCAGGCTTCCATGGGAAAAACGAATACTATGGAAGTCAATGGTTACCGGTTTCCGGCTTTCTTCAAAATATTTCCTTTTGTGTTTAACAGAAGAAAGAAACTCAAACAGGTTTGTAACAAGTAAACAATGACAGACTTTCAGGGGAACTATCACTTTAAGTATATAATCATATAAAATATTGTGATAAATATTGATTTATATCATGCTGGTATTAAAGTATGGATTCTTATAAAACACAGATGGTTATAAAGAAAGATATAGATTGAGATTCAGACGACATAATATATTGATCTGGCTATGTGAGAATGTATTTAAAATTGATCTGTTGTATTGCATGACATGTCAACATTACAGTACAAAATAGGTGTTTTGACATTATCTTCAACATTGTATAAGCTGTCGTTTCATATTATAAAAAAGTGTCATATTATAGTGAGGCTCTAAATAACCGATTTTTAGTTTGTTTACACGTCGTTCACGTTGACAATAAAAAAGGATTATTACACATGAACATTCTTACATACAGTCAATTTAATGCATCGTATTGTCTACTGCATAGTATCAAGAGTCTTTGCATCTTCATATCTTTCACAACCTGTTTATAGTGGAGCTTTGAGCTTGACAAACCACCTGTAGGAAACACACTCTGGCTGTTTCTCAATATGCGTTCTTCAGCGTTCCTGCGTCCTCCTGTTTTCGTGTAACGTCTCCATCAGCTGCCAAAGTTTAAATCCTATAGCAACAAGAATCAGTCCAAGGCACTCGAATAAAGTGAAAAATGTAAAAATATATATATATTTTAATTTTTAATTTTTCACTTTATTCGAGTGCCTTGTACTGATTCTTGTTGCTGTTTAGATGAATCCCTTACCCAAAGAGCACCGACCATACATTTGAGCTAACCCCAGAGCACTTTTTGTTTGTTTAAATCCTATACTCAAGACCGCAAGAACAGAGGATGCGTGAAACATCCCGGATGTGTTCTTGATATCGAGGAAGCACCAATGCAGACCTGAACACAGAACTCGCTCTAAAAGTCCCAGAAGTCATTGCGACTGGAGGTGGGAAGCGCAGCCTTTTATTTAGATTTATTATTAAAGTTAAGAGATATTACTTATTTATCTCAGGAGTTTCCCTAATTGAGATCTCAATAAAGGCATGAACACATTAAGGGTGTTTATTTTATATTATTTATTTATATTATTTATATTATGCAACCTATATTTGTTATGTTTTTATGCATAGTATAAATTTTGAAAAGGGGAAAACCAATAAATCGTTGTATGAGTGCTGTAATGTTTAAATAATTTTCCATCAATAATGCGTAAAGGTCATGTGACCATCAGGGAGAACGCAGCATCTCATTTCTCACAGGACGCGTTCTCTGTTCTCGAGGTCTCCCGAGTTCGTTCTTCCGAGGTCTTCACAAGAAGGCAAGTCCGTTCTCTGAGCTCTTGGAATTGAGAAACAGCCTCTGTCTTCTCCACATGCACCAGACACTTTTCTTCAAACACTTCAAATCCAACACTGAATACTTTATGTAGCACTGACATAAAAACAAATATACTCACATTTTCATGCTACCAACAGCGTATGCTTTAGTAAGTGCGCTGGCATTGTACTTTTTTATGTTTCTTAGATTTAAACTTTGTCAGTTACTTAACTATTGCTAGAATTAATTATACAATGTCGCCCAGTTAGTTTCCAATATCGATTGATAGCGATAATCTTTGAATCCACTGATAACCGAAATGTTGTGTTGTGCGATTAATCGATTTTGCCAGCACCTGCATCTGCTTTTAGATGGAGCAGCAGTTGTTAGCATAGTTTACTGACAAGCTACGCAACAAAATTAAAGGTGATTTAATCGTGCGATTCTGAAATCGAAGACATTTGTTCTGCCATTTGACATGTTTACATCACTTTTCAGTGAACAATGACTCTGTGTGGCTGCTATATCTGAAAGTATGTGAATATACCATATTTAATGACATGTTTTTACTCCAAACTCAGCTCATAACTTTAGTAGAGTGTTGGAAAAAAAAGATTACATGACTACTGTCATTTTGACGTATGTTACATGTCAAATGGATGTCGTTTTGACGTTAAGGAAGTTTACATGCTTTGTAAGGATACAACATTTGGAATTTGGAATGGAAGCTTTTAGATGAACAAACCTGTTCCTATATTATACGTTTTTTTGTCGTTTTTTTTTTTTTGGTGGTCAAAGGGAGATCAATGTGTGGATGTCAAATAGACATCAATGTTTTGACATCAAATTGTTTTTAATTGTATGTGTTTTTTGACATTGTTTTGACATAAAGTTGTCCACTGGGTGATCACAGAGCTGTGTTTCCCTGACAAGATGTGCATGAGAATTGCAACTCTTGCAAAATCGTATTTTAATTTTAATTTTAATTTGTGTAGCCCTAACCAAAATACAGGGAAGTCTTTGCCTTGTATGGCTAAAAGCAGATGCTCATCTCCACACATCAGCAGTAAACCTGTACATGTTTCTCTCACAATACTATGACACTGAACTTTTACAAGGGCGGCATGGTGGCTCAGTGGTTAGCACTCTCTCCTCACAGCAAGACGATCACTGGTTCAATTCCTGGTTGGCATTTATGTGTGGATTATATAAGTGCATGTGTGAATGCAAGAGTGTATGAGTGTTTCCCAGTACTGGGTTGTGGCTGGAAGTGCTCCGTTAAACATATGCTGAAATAGTTGGCTGTTCATTCCGATGTGGTGACCCTGATAAATAAGGGACTAAGCCGAAGCAAAACGAATGAATGAATGAATGAACTTTTACTGCATCAATGTAGCATTGTGCTGTTGGAGACATCCATGACAGCTAAATCACAATAATAATTGTGGTATATTTAAAAGTAAAACCGTGTCACTTTTTTGAAAGCCTATTGGAAGAGTGTTTGTTTTACTAGCCTGCGAGTGTTGAGCTATTGTGTGTGTGTGTTTGTTCTCCAGTCATATCTAAGCAAGCCAGGGTGACTCGGTTTATTTTTGAGTTAGTAAGTCTGCTAGGCAACTCTCTCTCTCTCTCTCTCTCTCTCTCTCTCTCTCTCTCTCTCTCTCTCTCTCTCTCTCTCTCTCTCTCTCTCTCTCTCTCTCTCTCTCTCTCTCTCTCTCTCTCTCTCTCTCTCTCTCTCTCTCTCTCTCTCTCTGCAAACATGCTCAAATGCCATTTAAGGCTTTGTCAAGAGAAAGGAGAGTGTGTTCTTGTCTGTGTTCTGACAGGAGGGTACAGATTGGACAAAAACAATCTAGGAAAACCAAGGAACTATAGTTTGGCCTTTGGATGCATAACTAAAGTGAATTAAATCAGACTAACAAAAAACAATGATGAAAAAGGTGAAGGTAACCGGTTTATATTCATTTTTTAAAAAACACAACACCAATGTAATAAATGTTTTGGTGGTGTAATGTTTTGGGGATATTTTCTTGGCACCCCTTGTCCCCATTAGTACCAACTGAGCATCGTGTCAACACCACAGCCTACCTGAGTATTGTTGCTGACCATGTCCATCCTTTTATGACCACAGTGTACCCATCTTCTGATGGCTACTTCCAACAGGATAACGCACCATGCAAGTGCAAATCATCTCAGACTGGTTTCTTGAACATGACAATGTGTTCACTGTACTCAAATGGCCTCCACAGTCACCAGATATCAATACAATTGAGCACCTTTGGAATGTGTTGGAACAGGAGATTCGCATTATGCATGTGCAGCTGACTAATCTGCAGCCGCTGTGTGATGCTTTCATGTCAATCAATGTAGACCAATGTCTCGGAGGAATTTTTCCAGTACCTTGTTGTATCTATGCAATGAAGGTTTAAGGCAGCTCTGAAAGCAAAAGGTAGTAAGGTGTACCTAATAAAGAGGCCGGTGAGTGTGTGTTTGTGTGTGTGTGTGTAATGTTTATATTTAACATAAAATTTAACATTTACTTTTATAAATTTATGTTATATATATATATATTTTAAAAATTAATTATATTTAACATAAAATTATATATAAATATTAATATGTATGTACAAATTTAAAAACGATATACATGTGATTTTATTTTGTTAACGATTAGTCACTATTAATTCATTTAAAGAATTAACTTTTATTTTCTGAAAAACACATGCTCTAAATGGAATTTGTGTTGTCAGACCTTTATTGAATAAAACAAATATTAACATTTTAAGCAAACCTATACCAAAAACAACCCACATGTAATCCATAGCTGTGTACATATGAATGATTCAAAACAGACAGGATTGATTTTGAATGTGAACTGCTTGGCTAAATCTGAGTGTGGTGAGTGTTATTTATCACTGCACAGCATTGCACAGTGATTGTGTCGACGGTGCACATTTAAATCTGCAGCTCTGGCTCACTAACACAGGCTTTAGCAGAATCACGTCTTATACTGAGAAACTGTAAATTTAGCTTGTGTGTGTGGCGATCAGCTGTGCTGGCGGTCTGCGTTTAGAGATACTAGATGATGCATATGTGTGCGTGTGTTTATATATAGTATGTGTGAGATACAGTGAAGGTAATAGTTGAATGTGTACTGTACATACTGTATATTTATAGGAATTTGCTCTTGCATTTCAGAAAAAATAAATGCTATTGTTTAGGGGATTCATATTTATTAAAAGACACCTGAGTGGGGGAAAATGTTTCTACCGAAATACTATGCAGCAAAATTGATTTCATTATCGATCGTCAACGCAAATCAGCTTAATAATTAGAAGTATCATTAGTGATTGCTGCT